TTTTTTTTGGGGGGGGGGGGGGGGGGGGGGGGGGGGGGGTGATTTACCTTCTGCAGAAAACATCAAAACCGATAAATTCAAAAACAAAAACGTATTGATGAATAATTTGCATTGACAAAAAAATCTCTGTTTGATCGTATCTTTTTAGAGATGTCGCTATTTTGTTAAAAAATCTATCAAAAAATGATATATATAGATATATATATATATATATATATATATATATATATATATATATATATATATATATGATAAGATTGATGTTAAGAACTTTTTTTGGGTCCAGATCATGATCTATTTTTCTCACACTTGCGGCATAAAATCTTATTTGATCGATGTCCAAGAATATATTAATACAAAAATACCTTTATTGACCATGCAGTTTTAGTAATAAAATCTGTGTATTTGTCAAGATCATCATTGTATTGACCCAACAAAAGACTAATGACTTGAAAAATCTTTTTAAGTTGGAGTCTACATATTGCTTTTAAATACATAACAAATGTCCCCATAATATACAAATAATACCTCAGAGAAAGATAAGCTCAGAAGAAAACTAGTAAACGTGAAAATATGGAGAGAATAACTCCACTTGTATTACTTGTTAGCCTACTTATCATATTTGCTTCAGGTATTATTGTGGAGTATCTCTCAATTATTATATTTATTTTCGCATTTTTCATAGTTTCAAAAGTTCTTTAATATAATTTTGTGATCACATTTTCTCATATTTCATGGTAATTTTAATGATGTTTATAATGTTACAGTTGTGAATCAGACTAGAGCAAATATATGTGTCGATGGACTCGGCACTTGCGAAAACTGCGACCAGAGATGCAAGTCCAAACACGGGCCATCAAGCCAAGGCGACTGTAGTGACCGCTCTATTGGGGAGCCTCTGTGCAGGTGCCACTACCAATGTGAACCATCCTCGCTGACTTCACTCAATACTTGCAATGGTAATGCCGGTTTATGTAGTCGAAGGTGTCCGGAACAATGTTGCGATGTTAAATGTAGACATAAGTTTACAGGTGGAAATGGGTTTTGTAACTCCCTCGACTATTATAATGTTTGCCAGTGCCAATATCCTTGTTAAAACTGGCTGACAAAATTGTAAACCGACTATTTTTTTCATGCAGGACGATGATAAAATAATAACAATTTCCATTATTATTGGTTTTGGGATGGCGTTATTTTTTATGAATTGAATTAATCAACGTAGATATTTTCTTTTATTACATAAGGAGTATATTTCTTCGTTTCTGGTGCAAATAGATATTTTTAATCACCGGGAAAATATGACAATATAAACTTTGTAGTACACATGGATGCCTCCTCTGAAATTTTCATTGTTAGTTGTATAAATTCACATTGCTTGGACGTGGTCATCTCTAAGAAGAGTTGTTTGCATGTTTAGGAGTTTCTTTGATTAATCAATTAATAAATTTTTATGTCAAGATCACTACTCAAAAGTCAAAACACAAGACACACACATACACACACACACACATATATATATATATATACCTTTGATCTTTGATAATCTGAAAATTGGCATAGACAGCAAATTAATCAGATTCAGAACGATTTTCTTAAAATCTGATTTATACGGTTAAAATTGATTCAAACCATTTTAAATAAGTTTAAACTACTATACATTGATTTAAATCGATCTAATCTGTTAAACTAAACAATAATGTTAGTTTATACAATTTTTTTTATTTTGTTTTTTATATCTAATTTTGATAATTCACCAAAATAATTTTATAATTATGGTCCAAATTAAAATATTTTATATATATGTAAATTAATTCAGTTTAATGTCTCGCCAAGATCTCGAATAATCTGCTAGTCACTAGTTGTCTACAAATAACCTAGTTACCATCTATAGCTTTTTAAACACTGATATGTTCTATGTGATATTTGAGGTCAAGACTCAAAAACCAACACCAAATATATTTTGTTAAGACCAAATATATTTTGTTAAGACCAAATATATAAACCTGTATAAGTTTGCTTCATCAACATTCTGAACAATAACATATATCTATCTAAAGCAATACAAATTTCTCCTTTTTTTTTCACAATAGTCGAAGAAGAAATATGAGATATAAGTATATAACGTAGTGGATAAAAATAAAAGAATGAAACCAACGGCTCCCTCCAACCAAATGAAACATCGACTGAAAAAAAAAAGGGTTCTCAGTACCTCCTTAAGCTTCTAGACTTTTAGCTAGTGTTAAAAGAATCATAGTGTATTAGAAGAAATATCCTTTTAAATCACAAATGCCAAGAGACCGATCTTGTGTAGTTTGAGAAGAGCTCCAAGAGTTTATCAAGCGTATCAGGGTGAAATTTCCTTCCAAACAAGAAGCAAGGTCTTTTGATTCCATTCCACATACAAGGCATCCATATTTCTTCACCCTATTGTTAACCAAAAGAAAAGATGTTATGTTACATAGAATTTTGCATATGATCAGAGCTAAGACATGGTTCTGAAAGTGCGTACCATTCCAACACTTGTGACATGCACCACTGTCTCACTAGACTGCAGATGTATCAATCAAAAACTTTCTTTTAAAAAAGTACTGCAATGATGATAGCTTTTGGTTATATGATTTTTTATATATATACCGTGAGGTTGTTTAGTAACTCATGTGTGACATCCTCAGGCATATATGTTTTGGGATGCCACTGTCTCTCAGACCAATCAACTTGTGTTACACTCCAGTTAGAAATACCACTGGGATCAAGCATCTACAAAACGATATTATATAAGAGAAAAAAGAAAAATAGGAGATATTATTCGTTTCATTTTTTTTTGAGTTAAATGGATCTTACATGAAAGAATGTTGGCAGATAATGTTCATCAGCTATGCAGTTTTTGTTGTTCTCTATACCTGGCTGAATATAACAAAATACAAAGCCTCTTATATTAGTGAGTGGCCATTCTCATAGATCTTGTGACCTTGTAAGTAACTGAACATCTACTTGTGGGGATACTTACCCCACAGTAATCTCGGAATCTAGAGTAGTAAAGACTGTCTGCCATGATTACTATAGCGTGTTGCCTCTTCATAGTGAACCACTGCACATTAGCACTGATTCATCACTAACAAGAAAGTGTTACTTGTCCAAATGTAAGCATCATTGAAACAGAAGCAGTTCCTTATATTCCTTAGAGATTTATTATTTTAATGCATCAGGTGAGAATAGTTACTGGACCAGTCACAAGTGTTTTTTACCTGTGCACCCTTTCGAAAATACTTCTTTGGAATTTCAGGCAACATGTGATCCATATGTCTGCCTGATCCATGTTGACCTGGATCATCAAAGCTGAAGAATAGAAGGTGATCATATTGAATACATATGAAGAAGAGTGACTAAGAGATGAAACATGACTTCTTACCAGTCAACATAACTGAGATTGCTGTACATCAGGTAATTGTAAATGTACTCAAAACTTCTAAGTGGTACACAACTTCAAAACCATAAACACTCAAAAGCGTTAAGACAACCTCAGAGTGATGTATAAGAAAGGTTTGGTGGAAATCAAGAAAGCACCTCTCAGAGAGTAAAACAAATTGCTGGTTTGCAGGGTCTCTAAGAGCATTAGCTAACAACCTTCTCTCTGCATCAACCATTGATATTCTTCCCCACACCACCTTGCAGATGAAAATATACATTTACTAACATATTAGTACTAAAGGCTAAAATATGAAATCTTCAAAGATAGGCATTATAGAAGGATAGAGAGGAGACAAAACCTCATCACTGCGAATTTCGCGGTTGGTAAAGTAATGACTGTGGTGAACTGGCCTTTCCTTTGATGCATGGATATAAACAGTGAACTTTCCTTCATGGCCCTGTTAGAAGAGACAAGATTGTAAAACATGCGTCTGAACACAGTCGGATGAAACATTCGCATTGACCCCCAAATTTTAAAGAGTTATTATATAATATCAATTTTTTTTTGTTAAGATTAACCTAAAAATATTTATTATGGCATCTAAATCTCAAATCTGATCAACCAACAAACCATCTTTAAACATATTCAAGTGTCACAATTACCAAAGAAACCTGACTCAGTTTCTGAAGAAGAAAGTAGTTTTTAAGAACAAAAATTTACCTGGAAAAATCTGTCCCAAAGCTTCTCAAAAGGCAATGTACCAGGAGTCAAGAACATGAATGCAATCTTGGAATCCCTTCTTATAACAGGAGCATTACTCATTATTTCTCTAATCACTACTCTCGCAGCAATCTCATCATCTGAATACTCCCTTGGAAGAGGTGGAAGCCAATCAGATAAAGCCTTACACCCCCTTGAAGAAATCATATAACAAGCACGTTTGCTGTGATGAGGGTACATATAAGCCATTATAGCCAACATGGTGATCAGTGAAAGCGTCATGATGATCAGTGAAAGCGCCATGATGATCCATAGTCGTTTTCTTGCAGGAACACGGTTGCGAGCTCCAGGTAATGACGCTAGGTTTCCTACGCTCCACCTTTTAGCTGCCTTCATCTCTCATCAAACCTCTACCTGCAGAGACACAAGGAGGAATGAGAACATGAATGGGATGAATCAGATCCAGTCACGACGCAAGATTTATATTATCTTGTCCGTTTTCTGATCTGTGAGAGACACTTTCAAACACTTGAGTGTTACGTACGCAAATGAAACGTGTGAATATATGTATGTGGCCTTGATCGTATGTTAATGCACGCATGTAAACAATAATCTCCTTGCAGTTTTCAGAGCTTGTGAAAGAGTTTGAGAGAAAATGATGATGGAGAAGAAGAAGATGGCAATTCGGTTCGAGAGAAACAGGGGAAGCAAATTTTTGAGGCAGAAAATGAATAAATGATTATCTTTTTATTATTATTATTATTAATAATCATATGACATGTATAATTTTTCTAATGGTAACATGCTCTTGAAAATTTTACATGATTTTTTGGACGAATGTGGCTAAAAAAGATATGAAACTAATATTAAAAATCTGCATGGAACACACGCACGTTCTAGAGCTATAGCTATAATGCAATCAGGTCCTTGTTGGCTTCAGGGAATTCTAATGGCACTGTAAAGGGTTACTTTAAAGGACGAATTAAGGGGACTGATCCTTTGTCTCCATCATCGTCAACATCGCTCAATCTTTCATTCTTTCACATGCAATCACCATCTCCATTGATCCATTCTTGCCACATCTTCTTGATCGATCAATACCACAACCGTCTCTTTTGCTTCCAGGTCACCCTTAGTGGTAGTTTCTCAATATGATTCTGAAGATTAAATAAATAAGAAAATAAGAAAAAGAGTGATAAATCTTAGGACACGTCCCTATGTAAAGATATTTAGAGCATCTCCAATGAAGGGTTCTTAGCGGAATATAAAAATTTGTCTCTTAAATTTTAACTAAAAAAACTAAGAATTGGTTCTAAGAATTCTCGTAATCTCGTAATTAGAGATTCAATGTATGTTGTAAACATGAAGTTACTGCTAAATAAAAAATTGGGTCAACATGGTAATAATTGTATTTCTAAGACTTAGTTAGCTGATAGTGATATAAACCTCCTTTTGGTGGTATCCAAGTTCTGAATATATCAACAAAATTCACTAACTTTTTGCTTTAAGATTAAAAACCCAAATATGATCAAAATAACTTCTTCACTTGTGTTTTCCAATTGGGGTGGACGTTCGCGTACATGTTCGGATTCGGATCATGTATTCCACATTTTCTGGTATTTTGAACTTTTGGGATTTCGGTATAGGGGTCTAAAACCCGTTCGGGTATTTCTACATATCAGGTCGAGTTTGGGTGATTTTAGCTCGGGTTCGGTTATTTCGAGTCGGGTTCGGATATTTTAGATTTTGAAAAAAAAAATCAAATTCTTCATTACTCAAGTTTCTTAAACTTAAAAATTTATAGTTAACTTAACTGATTTTTAAAGTTTTAATAGGTTAAATGATTAATAGGTCTGGAAACAAAATTTTGAAAATTGGAAAACACTAGTTTAGTTGATGTTGTGAGAATTTGAATGCAACATTTGTTAATACATACAATAAAAAGTTTGACATTCATTTTAAGTGAATAGGGAATCATTTTATTTACTATGTATATTATATGCTTTTGAATCATGTACAACATAAATATAAATATTTTGGATAAAATAAGAGAAATAAACTAGAAATATAAAGTTAAATATATATATGTTCGGTTATCTTCGGATATCTATTCAGGTTCGTATATTTACCCGTTCGGATTCGAATATCCAATCTCTCATAAGCCAATACCCATTTGGATATTTTACTACTTCGGTTCGGATGTCGGTTCGGATTATTTAGATCGGGTTCGAGTTCGGATTCAGATATCGGGTGAAATGCCCAGATCTATTTCCCATTATCTGTATTATCATGTTTTCTTTAGGTATGCATTTATCTTAACTTTATTCATAATTATTATAAACAAAATTTAATAATTATTTACTTGCTATGGTATTTATTAGCATATGTCCTAAATGTTGTAGTATTTTTTTATGTTAGCCTTAATAATACATTACATTTATAATATTTCATTTCTATTATATCTCTTAGTATATATTATAAGTTTTATGGTTCAAAGTAGTACCTAAATACTAAGAGTACCCTGATCAGACAGTTTCTTAAAACTAAGTTCTCTGCAGATTAATATCACTATTATAATATAATTTAGGGAAATTACAGTAGATAACAACGGAAACATTTTTTATTAGGTAAATGGACAAGCTCTTGTGCACTTTTAAATAATACCAAAACTGTCCCTACTTTCCTATGAAATGGATGTATTATCTTGAAGAAAGTTCTCTCAGTTTGTTCTCCCTTGCTGTTGGTTCTCTTGTCCGCCATGAGTTCTCTGCAGTCAATGGTTCATATAGCTGCAGTGGCTGATGGTGTTATCTGAAGCGCTGTGGTGGTTACTTGGTGCCCCCAAAGGTCTAGCCTTTTGTTTCTTATAGGTCTAGCAGAAATGGTTAGTCACCTGAACTTTTATTGTGGCCCCACTGGATAAGTGTTTCTGGGATGATGGTTAAACAAATTTTGGGGTCCTATACCATGTTCTAAATATATGTCTGGTCCTATCTTTCAAGTTCTTTGGTTTTATTGTTCCCAGCTATCCCTGTCTTAGTTTCTTAAGGAAGTGAATGTGGTCTTTGCCTGAGATTTTGTATTTTTCTGTCTTTAGTTTCCCTAATGTGGAGCGTTATATTCAGGAGATATTGTGTTTATCCGTCTGCTTAGTTTCTCAATCCTTTGGGCAGCTTGCGTTGAGGTTGATGATCCTGTTGTAAGTATTAAATATATCCGGTTATATCATAATCTACCTGTTATATCCAATGACCATATTTGGTCATTATTTGTTTTACATGACCGGGTCATTCGCTCCAAGTGATTTTTTCAAAAGAAATCTATTAATATATAATTTGAGAGTTTGTAGATAGTCAGTGATCGAATAAATGTGTATTTATCTATTAACATATATCCGGATATATTTTAACAGATCTTGTTATAGAACAACATAACCGGATACACATCTATTAATGTACTGCTATTATTAGATCACTACAGAAAATTATTGCTATATAGTTTTTGATTTCTGTGAAAGATTTTTTACTTATCCGGATAAAATATAGTTTTTTACATGTAATTTAGTTAAATAATTTAGTTGACACTAGAAAACCAGTTACAATTTAAAAATACCTTGATATAACATCAAATATCTGGATATTGAATATTTATACTATGATTACTAAAAACTATTTTTTTGAATGATCCTATTAATTTTTCTCCGAGTTATATCTCCCCAAGTGGTTTATTATTTTCATTCACACTCGTATGCCCATCTTAATTATCTGGCTTTAATTTGATGATACGCTATGGTTTTATAATGTTTCAAATTAATGAGAACGCTAGTATTTTCCACAACTTCTGTTTCGAAATCATACAAATATTTTGGTGAACACGTTCTTCAACTTCCACAATTTCACATCTATTTCAAGCCATACAATTTGATTACCAAGTGAGAAGCAACATTTCTGACATATCTCTACAAAGAGAAGACGTCATGTACAACTCTATATTCAACTTAGGCTACTATAGATAGGTATGTTAGGCCAACATTATCGGTAGGACAATAAAAAAGTCCTTAGCATATTTTACTAATTTTTTTAAGTTTGGGACAAAGTTTAAGAACTTTTGTAATTTTGTAGATTATTGGTAGGACAAAAAAAGTCCTTAAAATATTTTAAGTGCAGAAGAGTGAATTGGTGGAATCCCAAACCCAGACTAAATAGCAGGAATCGAATCCAAGAGAAATCAAATTTGGCACAAAGATATAACATAAGTTCTACATTATCTTAGTTTGAACCATTATCTAAGCTAAGCTAAGTAGAAAAATAGAAAGTGAAGCTATGTGGAACCAATACAAACTGATGCTTTGGAGTTTGGACAAGACAAATAGACATGACGCAGCAAGTCTTGCACTATCGTTCCAAGGACACGAACATAAACAGGATTGTATTTAGTTTAAATGAAGGTGTTGAGAATATTGCACCACCACACATATCATTCTCAGGTTTCTTGTGATGATGATGATGATCTCTCCCTGCGTGGAAGTAAAAGGTTTCACAAAAGCTGGCAGCCTTCAATATATTCACAGCTTCAGGTCAATACGCTCGGACCACTCAAATATACCAGAGTGGACCTGGTCCTCTCCTAGATCCGACCCGTTACCTCCCGTGGCAACCCTCATGATATCCACATGGGCTCCACTCTGCGTCCCGCGCCCTTCAAGCAGGTTGGCAGGTGGAGAGTGGTTGTACTCTCTGACGTAAGTCTTGATTCCTGAAGGGTTAAGTCTTGTCTTGCCACGCCAAGCTTTAGCACACATGAACCCTGCACTGAGGACCGGTACTGTTTCATCCCCATCCACGTTGTACACTCCAGCTTTCAGACAGCTGTCTTCGTCCTCCTCGTGAGCAGAAGTGAAGATCTGAAAGGGGATGCAGCTGTCGGGAGACTGATTAAGCTTGTAGATGTACGATCTTTCTGTTGGTATCCCAACTCCATACAATGAGTATATCTCCATTTCAGGGGCATTTGGTAACGTCTTCTTCTTCACCTCCATTCCTCCTCACCAACGTCTTCTTCTTCACCTCTGTTAGCACACAAAACTCGTTCCTTTAGCAACAGAGAGAAAATACAAACCGTTCCTTTAGCAATAGAGATAAATAAAAATCGTTTCTTTATCAGAACTATAATCAATTACAGCAACAAAAACTATACTTTCACCCTGTCCGAACAGAAAAAAAGAAATCAGAAGATGGAAAGGAGAGAAATTTACCGGAGGATGGTTCTGCAGTTGATGGAGAGGCGGAGCAAGTGATGGGACGATGAAGCGGACGCCTCCGAGAACGAAAGCGGAGAACACCTCCTGGTTTAAGGGAGGTTTGCAACCGCCCTCGCAATCTCCGCAAGATAGAGAA